GAGGATGCCTTGTATTAGAAAAAAAGTTGCTTCTTGAATGACGGCGTCACTTACGTAGGGTTAATTATAATTACGTTTATGCCTTTTTAAAACTTTTTACGTTATTTTTGTTGCACATAGGCTCCAAAGACGTAAAAACTTATTTGAAGACACCCCTACTTGAGTGGCGCCACCACAGTAGTTCCGACGACCACCGCTTCTCAAGTGACCGCCGATAATCCGGCAGGCACGGGAAATCTAGGAGGCGTTGACACTGCATCAGAGTTCCCCATTCAACACTGCTTAATCTGCATAATCTCCCCAACGACTCTCCATCGTCATACGCGCAAGGCAAACGGTGAAAACGCGCGCACTAGGCCGAACGATCCGCCACACGAACGAAAACACGGCGCGGTCGCAGTTGAGACGTGCTCATGAAGTGTGCTCGGTAATGGCGGACAGAAGACAGGAACTACGTACAACCACAGAACACCTACCAGGTACAAACGTCGCTTGCAAGTTATGTATACAGCGCCCCCATAAGTGTTCTGTGGCTCCCCGCGTGCCAGTCTTAGTGTCGTGTAAACTGGCTTTACCATCTTCCGCATCTCAGAATTTGCAGAATGACCGAATCGATCCCGGCCACGTGTTCCTGGAAACTGCGTTTACAAGTGCTCCGCGCGCTATCGCCGAGACGGTTCTGCAAGTTGCGCAAATTTCATGGGGCGCACTGGACAATTCATTTTTTTTAATTTGTTTTTATCTGTCTTAAACTTTAGTGCAGAAAATCTTTATATGCTTAAGTAAGCCTTGCTGCAGTGCTGATACCGCGCATGAAGGTCTCGCTTCCCGCCGACTTTCGATGTGCGGATGAAGCACGGTGGAATTCGTTAAATGCAAAATATTTATTGTCGAAGTCGTTTTAATGGGGGTAACAGAGGAGCAGGTCGCATTCATACTGACCGCTCGCGGAACCCTCACATATGCCTTTCCCGGCCGGAACGCCCGAATTCCACGGAACCCTTTGAGGACCCACGCACTATAGATGTGAAGCCCCAAGAATTGCTCGCATTCGAGGGTACAAGACAAGTGTCGAGAGATACGGGAGCGGCGCCACGGATTAGCCTTGACCGGAGCGACAGCGACAGGCCATCCATCACCGGTTGAGTATACGGAGCTCGGTGAATACGCTCGCTCCGGGAAGTTGGTCGATCGGCAAAGACATATGCGGTCACGTGAATCGCACGTGTCGCGCATCGTCGTCGGAGCGCGTCAATCTCTAGCAACATGCAACGAGTCGGTGCCTACGCACGTGGCATTAATCGGAGTTGCTGTACATGCTGATGCTAACCTTCCATGGGAACCACATAGAGTTACTTAGAGCTCCTTGATGGCAGCTTGTTCCTTCGTACAAAGAGCGCTGTCAATGAGGCGCCCTAGAATTCATTCCGCATTAATCAGCTCGCAGCGACCCTGCACGACGCGTGTCTGCACAGGTGTAGCTTTGCCTTGGCATACCGGATTGGCCCTGCTTGGCGCGCCATGTGAGTTGATAGATTTAATCCTGAAGCCTTGGAACGCATAAGAAGCGACTGCAAACGTTTTCCGAAGGCGAAATCTAGCTGCGTGTGTGCGAGGAGGGGGTATAGTTAGCCACAATGCGCAAAATGTTGCTCCACCCCCCCCCCCCCCCCAAAACACGGAAGCCCCAAGGCAGCTTCATATCTTCAATGTGCTCGGATGCAAGCTAATAATTAGTAAGAATCCATCTTAAAAAGAAAAGAAAACATCATAGTTTACAGAAATCAATTTTCTTTTGCTACACTTGATTTTCCTTCTCTCCACAAGCATGCCCAGGCAGGGTTCCCTATAAGGAAGGGGATAGTGTGAAGGATCGTCATAGAACCCCCTCCCCCCTTACTAATTGTACTGGGCAGCATATGAGCCTGCCCCCCCCCCCCCTCCCGCCCATGCGCACGACCACGTTTTTCTCCTCCCCTCCCGTTTTATAAGCTATAATTTGTGTACACTATAAAAGCTTTGTTGGCAGTTAGCAGGGCCATACACGGTGCGTCGGGAGAGGTGGTTACACCCCCGCCAAAATTTATAATTTTGCAAGTGTTTATATATACACACAGATAAAAACATGTGCACAGACACATGCAACCTCCCCTGCCGAAATAATGTTGCTGGCTACATTACTGGCAGTTAGCACCGGCCCTCGTGTGATGTTCCCTTGTCTGTAAGTAAATTAGAGTAGTTTTATTTTAAATGAACCCATATCCTTACTGCAGAACCTGTCCGTCTCTTGTTTTACATGTGCAGGGTTACGACTATGCAAGTTTTTTACAATAATGGTGGCCGGGAACCCTTATTGTAGTATTCCACAAACTGCTCATGTCTCACCTTTGACCCAGGAAAGTAGGGGACCAAAGGCAAGTCACGGTGAACAGCAAGTTATCATTTCTCATTTTCGCATCCAGTGCGAAGCTTGTTTCCATAGAGTTTCCCCTAAAGTAACTAGAGGACACTCTGGCACTGCGATCGTTCAGCGACCATGGGAATGATGGGTAGTACACACATTTGCCTAGTCTTCGTACTTGTGGGCGGCGAATCGTACTTGCGGCTTCGTTTATTGCTGGTTACGGTTTTCTTTTGAAAGAAAGAACGAACCCTCTTGAACTTAGTGACTTGATTCGAAATAGTAAGCCTAAAAGAATAAAGTTGTGAAGCGCAAACGATGAACATTTGCTAATTTATGTTTTCGTGAAAAAACAGCTCCAAGCCACACGAACACACACGGAGCCAGAAGCAGGCCAGAAGTACGAAAATGAGATAAATGTGTGTACTACCCATCATTCCCATGCTCGCTGAAGCGCCGTGTGTTGCAGCTCACATAGACACTTGCGACAAAGTTCCCTCTAGTGTATATCAAGAAACTCTATGCTTGTTTTCTTTCGATTTGACCAGGGAGGTCTGGAAAGGGGGCGCTGCAGTAGAGTTTCGCCCTCTCTCAAGGGGAGACCTGCATACGTCTAGGTACAAACACATCCTCCACACAATCAGGCGGCGAGTCTAGTGAATAGATTTTGGCCCTCACGCTCAGAACACAGTACTGCTCATTGAAGGGACATTACACAGAAACAATGACTTGGTTGACATTGACAAACTGCCCTCAGAGAACTCTAACGCCATATGTTTCACTATTAAAAGTTCATTATTAGCAGAGAAAATCAAGGTCGAAGTTTCATTTTATTAAAATTTTATGTCAAAGTTCTTCATGTCAAAAGTTTCAAAATGTACTTTTCAGTTATTCACAACAGTGGCTCAATGCAATTCTCTAGAACTTCTTATGCTTGGTACTATATGGTGCCCAAAAACGACAATATACTTCCTTTTTATAGATTACAAGCTATGTAGGACTTAGCAGACACCTTCAAAGCTATAACATCACCGTGTTTGGTGCAAGAACCACAATGTGGCATCTCCACCCTGCATATCCTTTTCGCGAATTTTCTCCCTTACCAAGGGTCATATCGCGATAAGAGTGGTGTTTTCAGGATGGCGACATTGTTCTTTATTATTATACGAAAAATCGTTTTCCTCTTCAGTGTCTCTTTAAAGCAGGCAATCATAACTGTGGCAATTTGGACGTGTTGGCATGATATGATCAACTGATGACTGATATGTGAGTTTCACGTCCCAAAACCAGCCATATGATTATGAGAGACGCCGTAGTGGAGGGCTCCGCAAATTTCGACCACCCGGGGTTCTTTAACGTGCACCCAAATCTGAGCACACGGGCCTACAACATTTCTGCTTCCATCGGAAATGCAGCCGCCGCAGCCGGGACTCGATCCCGCGACCTGCGGGTCAGCAGCTGAGTATCTTAGCCACTAGACCACCGTAACGGGGCGAGATGACATGATCAAAGCACTGAAAGCGCACGATTCGACGAGGACAAGAAAACATGTAATACGCACAGGTGTTAGAGGCGACAAGAAGAGAGCAGAGCGATCCAGGAACCAGACAGGTGTTAAGAACATCTTCGGTCGAAACCAAGAAGAAATGAGCACGGCGTGTAACGCGTGCAAGCACAGTACCCAGTTTATTGGTGAAACACCAGAGAGGTCTTTACCTGCAGTGGGCGTAGCCTAGCTGACTGATGATTATAAACAGAGTACACTAATCATATCCAATAAGACACTTCGATTTGTTTCATATATTTTCCATTACAACTTTGAAAGAAAAGTATTGCAGAGTTATCTACAAAAGTTATTAAGCATAGGGCATTGGTCTTTCACTAAATCAAGGTGCACGAGCAGCGAGACCAGTGGGCAGTTAAAGCCAATCATGTCAGGCATTGCGGTAATCGAAACCTATGAGTGCAGTAGCAAGGACACCACTGTCAAACTGAGAATTCCATAACTTCATCACACGTGCCTGTTTTAGTGATGGAATGGCGGGCAAGTGCGTGTCCTTGGATAGCCTGGCACTGGTTGCGTGCGGTCGAAACCACTCTTAATTGATAATCGAATGTTCACAGCAATTCACACAGACTATAATGCAACAAACCTTATTTTGTGTATTTGTCAAATAGTCTGCTATGCCCGCAATCAAAGCCTCACCTTTTGGATGAAACTGCAACATCTTCAGGATTGAAATGTGCCGTTTGACTTGTTACGCAAGAACTTCTTTCCATATTGAGCTTGATCAACCTAGTAATTCAAGCCTCACTCAGGCATTCCAGCCAACAGTAAGATCTAAATCCCCTACCTGCAAATGATGTTCATGAGAAATATTTATTATTTTAGTACCATTTACTACTGTGATGATCTAAACACTGCCAGTGACTTCGCATTGTAGACTATTAGATGTCAGGTCTTAGAACCAGCACAGTCTGAATCGCGATGGTTGTTTGATGTATTCGTTTCCGAGTGGCTTATGTACAGGCGTTGATAAGAGTAAGACCCAGATTTCCGTTTACGACTATCGAACAAGTTTAGTACAAGCACTTCCACTGACACTTGCGTCGACAGTTTTTAATCGAGACGCACACGATTTTCCGCATAAAGGTGTGGGGACACGACAACACGACAGTACGGTGACTATGTACAAGCATTGGCGACAACGGGCCCGTTCTCACGATTCAAGAGGCCGTTGTCTTGCGCTTCTTAGCGCTTGGCTTTTCGAAGACCTGCTTCATTCCGCCAGCCTGCTGGGCGTGGAACTTGAGGTTTTGCGCCGTTTCCGACATCCACGGCGAGTCAAACAGGGTCGTGTCCTGGTCCACCAAGTGTGTGTATTTGGTTCGACCAGACCGACCGAAGTTCTTCACCTGCGTTGGAGAGAAGCGAGAGCTCGCGTCAAGCCAAGACGAAATCGGGGGCGGTGCAGCAAGCGCAGAGTCTGACCGATAACTCATATTTTCGTAAGAATCTTCTAAATGTCTAAAAAAAAGAAACTTTTTTGATTCAATTCACCAGAAAATAAAGAACTTCATTCTACAAGTGGTGAAAAAGGCCATGTCAATGCATTGCTGCATGAACATTAACCAGTCTGTGGCTAGTCAAGCATGTATTTCCGTCACTTTCACACTGTGGCTGCGCATATGCGAAGGTAAAGTTGATGCACACATCGAATTCGCTTATATAATAAACAACAGGTTGGCCACACTATGACAGATGAATGATCATGTGTTTCCTTGCAACAGTTGTCGTCTGGTGCTCACAGATCCACAAAATTGTTCATGATTCAACTAACATGAACTTGGAGGTTGCTTTGAATATGAGTGAGCCAGGGTGAATTTCAATACGCCCAAGCCAAAGTGAGCACAGCTAAGGATTTTGGCGAGCGTGAATACGAGTGGCCACAAACTAAAACATATGTCCTGCGAGTGAGTCTGAGTAAGCTCAGTTTATTTTGCTAATTTACGCCAGCAGTTCCCTCGTTTAGCTACTGCCCTTGGCAGTACAGGCACTGAAGGCGGAAATAGCAACAGTTGAAGCTGCCCGAGAAGAAAACATAATTACAGCAATCAATGAAGACCGTTTTGCTTTTTAATGCAGAGGCTCCGAAAGTGGGGAGACGGAGCCAGTAGGGGCAGCTATGTCAACAAGTTGGTGGCATGCCCCAACACTTAAATTTTTACTGATCCACCTCCTCGCACCTTTGCTGAAACAAGACTTGGAAACACTATAAATAGAGGAACTAAATTTCATTCCCCATGCCCAAAGTGGCGGCAGAAAAAATTGCTAGAGTTGTGGCTCGAGAGTGACTCAATAACGAAAACGTTGCCCCATACATTTTTTAAAAGCTGTTTTGGAGCTCTCAGGCATGAATCCTGTATGTAATTTGACATGATTGCAGTCCTGTAGCAGTGGATTCCAAGATCGTTCACTGACAAACTATACGCATGAAGCAAGTTTGCATGTGTACTTTTGATATTATGAATTACCATGCCCACCGGCAGGCTCCTGGAAGGAAAGGGAAAGAAAGCATCCATACACGCAAGTACAAATATACTCACCTGCATAACCTTAGGCAGGATAGTCTTGTCAAAGTGGTCTTCCAGGGTGGGTGCTGAAAAGTCTCGTTTGTAGACGTTATCCTCTTCGTTCTGCAGTAGCAAAAAAAAAAAAAGCGGGAAGTGAGACGACCGATGCTAAGCTAAGCAGATGATCAGTTTTAACTTAAGATGATTTTCCGTGAGCCACCTAGCTTCTCTGGATTTCAGTGATCTAAGTACATCAACAATATACGAAGCATGACCAGTAATTTTCTAAATGAAGACAGAAAATCTATGGCAACACAGTTAACTCTGCATTTTTTTTGCACAGTATTTAAAATAAATTCCGAGTTTGCCTCTGCATGATGTGGGACAACTCCTGAACTGGCTCTCTAGTCAATTTTCCCAGCGTAATTCGGAAAGAGAAGGCCATGGCCTTTTCTAGTCATTTGAGCACATGGACTGATAGAAATGCTGCAGCAGCAATGCTTTGGGTCCTACAAGATAATGAAACGTGGTGCACTGGAGTATGAAGCCATACCCGATGATGCAACATCACTTGCAATGGCCCCGCGCACAGCCCAAAGCAATCCATGCTGTGTGCCTTAAACCTTACTACACTCACTAATGAATGGTGACATTTCATTAGCTTAATTCATGAATTTTTTTTCCATGTATTTTCAGTTTCGTGCAGCATCAGGATGATGCATTTCTAGCGGGGGCGTTGACACGTGTACTTGCTTTATTTTACGGTGACTGCCCTTTTCATTTTGTTGTGACACGTTTGATTGCTCTGTGTGGGGTACGCTTGAGCCTGAATGCTGCTTCCCAAATGATGTTGACTCTTCTACAAATGCTGTATGCTTGGTGCGTATGTATGAGCACCTTCGAGATTGTGCGTGAGCCTAAGTGATAATACTAGAATGTAATGTGGCACATGTATAAAAGCTGATGCATTTTGGAGCCAATCAGTCTTTTGATCACCGACGACTGAGAGAGAGCTTGAGGCTATCGTAGCACTGAGTGTGTCACTTGTTTTTCTTCTGGGCACACGTTAACTCAACAAAGTGCGTCATCCTTACTAGCTGAAGTTCTGCTAGCTGCACAATAACAACCATTTTACAATGTGGTTATGAGTGTATATAAGGCACATTTTCATTCTGCCATGGATAACAAATGTGGGTGCCGTGGCCAGTAGTCGCATCCACAACCTCATTTTTGCTCTGTGACAAGACGGCTACAAGGCTACCACACATAATTAAATATAATTAACTTCTGCTGTTCCATTGCATTCTTTTAAAAAGTGAATGTAGTGAACAAAGACGTAAAAAAAAAGAAGAAATGGTCGTCAATCATCTCACCAGGAAGAAAGCACCTCTGTGATAGTACTTCTGCAGGAACTTGTATTTGCCCTTGGATGCCTTGTTGGTGACCTGGCGAGGGTTGGCCCGCAGCTCAGCACGTCTCTCCTCTTCGGTCATGTTGTGCATGCGCTCAACCTCCATGCGCTCCTTCTCGTACCTGCACAATGAAGAACGACACGCACGCTGCATCAAAACGCTGCAGAAATAGGCTCAAGCCCTAGAAATGCGGCAACCTACAATGAACTTTCACTAACAGTTGTTCGAAACTTTTTTTTTTGCGTCTAAATGATACGCATCGTTCCCCTGCATTCGCATTTTTAACGATTACGAAGGATGTGTGAATAATTCGGGAACATTGCGCAGTGCCTTTAGCCGAGAACAAAAGACGTTGGCCAGTGTGACCGACCTTCGCAGTGGCAGATGCCAAGTGCTCATCACGACGAAAGTATTGCATAAAGAAATCATAATACTTGCAAACACAAAATCCAGACTGCACAAAATGACACCGAATAACTGCAACAACAACTAGTGATTGTCCTGTAATGTTCTATATAATTTCAGAAAAGCATTGTGTGGGGGCTGGTTGGAACATACTGCAGGAAAAAGACTGCGCTGCAAAGTTGAGGACGACAAACTGGACCGACACAGGGAATGCGGTTTCCCTCAACTTTGCAGCGCAGCCTTTCACTGCTGTATAATTCGTAGTGTGTGTTCTCGCTAGTATTATAATGTCAGCACCATCTAGTACAGCTAAATACATAAACAAACCTTGCCTAACCCTGCTCCATGAGCACATTATTGGCTCATAAACTCTTATAAGTGGCCTACAGATCTTAGGCTTTTTATAGTCACGAACCTTGTTTTTTTAAAATACATTAGGAACTCTCATGTAAACGAATGCCACCAACACACAGCCCGAAAAAACGAAGGCGTCGCTTCGATAGCCGTGTCGCCAAGTGTTCCCTCTTTCTCTGCAATTTCCTTTGCAATCACCCCGACTTGCCCAGCATAGTGTGTTTTCGGGTGGTTCCAATACTCACAGTACATGGCTAAATAGACAGCTAAGTGGACGGTAGCCATCTTAAAGAGGCCCTGAAACACTTCTTCAAGTAATCATGGCACGGAGCTTATTGCCTCACGAATTCAACGCCACAAAAATTTGTCGCACGCCGCAATCGCATTCTCTCTTCTTTTGTTCCAACGAAAGCGTTGAAAGCTAAGCAGAGAGGGATGGCAGGGGCAAAGAAAATACGTCACGCGTGCCTCATGACCATGAGCACTTTATCTTTTTTTTTTAATACACGGCTTTTTTAGAGCGATCGCACGCGTGTAAAAGTCGCGGTCTGCCACATGCGATCCATGTAACAACCTAGCACGCCATGTTCATATGAGCCAATGGCTGATAGAAGGCCTTTTATGAGTGATTTTTGAGCTTCCTTCCTCATTTGTTGAGAGAAGAGAAAGCAATTTTTAGCCAACTTTGATTGATAATTTATTCTGAATTGCAGGCCGGTGCTGTGCTATTAAATTTGGCTCGAGTGCTTTTGGGAGCCTCTACTACTGATCAGCAGCGTTTTCTGACCATGCTCAAAAAGTGTTGCAGGACCCTTTCAAGTCCCATTCCAATTCTCACATAGCCGGCAAAATAGGCAACTTTGAGAAGATGGCATCAGAGACAAAAGCAATGCAGGCTACTTTGCTGTCCAAACAAGATGATGGCTTAGCGAAGTGCTTAGATAGCTCGGATCTTGCCGGAATGGTTGTCTGCCCAAGAGCAGACACTTCTCTAGACTCTCAATGTGAGTAACGTTCAACTTAAAAAAAATTTGAACACAAAGTACCCTAAATAAACAGTTACATTTGTTTATCTTAGCTTTCTCTTTTCGACACGAGGTGATATCTCATGGCATAGATACCATCCAGACGCGTCCATTTTTTTAGACAGCATCGGGCTCGATGATTTCTAAGCTGTGAGCGCAGACTGTCTAGAATGCTGTCTAGAATTGGAACACAGCCTTTGTTATTGTCACTGAGGCGCTCTGGTAGATGTGTAGGGTGATGAAGACAAACGACTCACTGCTCCTTTTCCTCCTTGTCACGCTTGACACGCTTCAGCTCCCGCAGTTTCCAGGCCTCATACGCCGCCTCGTCATTTTCGTCATCCGTGTTGACCCAGTCTTCTGAGTCGTCCACCTTTTTCTCCTCCATCAGCTCCTTCTTGGTCTCCTCTTCGACGATCTGAAATGTTGGCCACGACCACACATCACCACCTGCCGAAATGGGTGGAACTACGAGGACACGATAGAACTTCGGTGCAAGTACTTCATCTAGGGTAGAATCATTAATGCCACCATTAGTTATTAACATACAGTGAAACCCCATTAACATGTGCCTGCCGGGGATGGTGGCATAAACATATTATGCATTAACCATTACCTACAAATTTGCATCCCCTGACATGCGCCATCGCCGCCAACACAGGAATAGATTCAGGGCCACAGGAAATATTGCCTGAAGTGCCCACCACAAAGCCATTTCTTTCTTTTTGCCAAATTTCAGAAAAGTTTCTGACTCCCGCACAACCGCCTCGTTGCACGCGGTGGCGACGACAAGGAGCATTTCGAAACTACTGCGGGGTCAGGATATGCAGCGAGGTACAGCGACAGAATGAACACAATTGGCTGTCTGTGATACAGTTTTTCCACGGTCTGCTTTAAACAAAAACTGACAGTTTTTTTTTATTCCAACATGATACGGTTGCAGAGGGCCGAATCGTTTCCTGCATGGCTAGTTGCGTGCAGCCCTTCGCTTACTCGGCACACACAGTGACTGCCCATCCGCTTCTGGCCATGCACAGATGCGGCGAGTAGCCTGCTCGGTTAACTCTTTCCTTACCACGCCACTAGGCATCGTTCACCGGTGAACGATGATTTCACGCCCCTATTTTTCAACAAACACCGTGATGATGATGATGATGATTAAAGGCCTCCCCTTTGAATCGGGGTGACGGCATGCGCCATCTAGCCTACCCTGTGCGTATGGACTTGCAGCGCCATCTAGGCGATTGTACACACACTAGAATTTCTGTTTCTGTACGGTATGCATTTTTACCGCGTTGCGGTGATTTTTAAAGGGTGCGTCCATTCAAAGGTTGAAACGCACGTGATCCGCGTGATGGCGTCAACATCTGAAACCACGCGCGCTCGGAAAAAAGAGATTTCGCTCGATGCCGACGCCTCGACGAGCGATCTTTTGGATTTCTCGAGCAGTGAGGAATCGGACAATGATGTGGTGACATCGGATTTCAGCTCCAATGAAGAAATTTTATCAGATCAGCCGGGAACGTCAGCTGTTAGTCGCGAGTAAGTTTGGTTTTCACCTTCTGTTTTGTTTATCGTGTTCTGGAGCTGGCCGACTTGCTCTGTATGTGTCCCACATATTATTATTATTTTTAGCGTGTCTACTTCATTTGGGCGCAATGTGCTGCCTCCAGCACAAAGACACGTGGACTTCCGACCCCAGAGGGATCCGGGCATCGACCTCGGCATGACGCTCCGCACTAGTGCACAATTTATAGCTCGAGAAGTTCTTGGGCTATAACTTTCATTTTTTCAATCCTACTTCAATACGCTGTTTTAAATATTTTGCATCTCTCATAACTTTTCCATAATTTTTTACTCGGAAGATATAAGTATATCATTACGACATTTGTTGTGAACAAACCTAATTTCATTTTTTTCAATCCTACTCCAATACGCTGTTTTAAATATTTTGCATCTCTCATAACTTTTCCATAATTTTTTACTCGGAAGATATAAGTATATCATTACGACATTTGTTGTGAACAAACCTAATTATTTGTGTTTGTCAATTTTTGTTACCTATTTAGATCTGCCAGTTCTTTCGTCAAATGTACCTTTCAAACCCTACATTTAGTACTTGCATTTTGGTATGTAATATTTTGCTGAAAAATTTTTTTTCTTGAAAAAAAAAAAAAATCTCGCGTAGGACCAACTCAGAACTTCACTATTTCGCTATGCATCAGCCAATTTTTTTGTAACTCAAGAACAGCTTCGTCAATTTTAACAATTCTTCTAAATAATGTTGCCCTGTGATTACTAAACATTTTGTATATTTCAGAATTCATCAGAAAAATGTGTCGGAGATATCGCTTCGTTTAAAAAAAAATTATTGAAAATTTTATAATTTTTTTGTATACAAATTTTTTGTGCCAAATAAATTTCCTTCATTGTTTCAAAATAAAAAGCATTCAAAAGTATGTTCATTCGTCTTTATTTTGATGTATTGCATGGCACTGTAAACCTAGTAGCAACGGCATAGAAAATTCCTAGCTGCAACATACAAAAATAGGCCAATTTTCCCGTGGTAAGGAAAGAGTTAACGCGGCGATGACGAACTTTACGCAAGCGATATGCTCTCCTGGCAGGGGACAGAGGCACGTTTGGGCTGTCGCTGAATAAAAGCGGGCAGCATGCTAACAAGAGCGCTATGCTTGCTGTACGGTGCGCGCATTGGCATAATACAGCAAGGTTTCTCGGTGCCTGCGACCAGCAATGCTAAACTCAGCGACAGCGAGCTGCTTGTGTTTCTGTAAAGCAGTGAGCGATTGAACACGGTCCCGCACAACGAAGGGGCAGCGAGCAGCAGCCTAGCGCGTTGAGCTAACCACCTACACCAGTAGGCGTAGAGTGATGCTACGCCACAAGCATGCCCAAGCAGATAACTGGGGATGCTTACTGTGATAAGGGTTTTCGTGGTGATACCGTATTTTCGCGCGTATAACCCGTACCAAAAACCCAAATGTTTCAGTGGCAAAGTGGAGGTACGGATAATACGCGGGGTTTTTCCTATAGTGCTGCTTCACAGCAATGCGTGTTGTGCTGTGAAGCGCCTTAACAGTGTAGCGAAGGCTACGGAGGCGGTTTCCACGAATTCGTGTTGCTCCGCAAGTAGCACGGCAGCTTGCGGCTGAATTTGGTTTCGCTTGCTTGCATCGTTGAAGCATTTAGAAAAACATTTGGGGAGAGACAATTCGATTGTTCAGTGTAAAACCTCACTGTCACACCACAAGTATATTTTTTTAGACGTTCGCGGCCGCTCAGTGACCCTCCACATGTCCCTACGTCACGGACGCCATGTTTACTTTTAAAAAGGGCTTGCCGAAAAGGTGGTGCTGTCTAAGAAAGTTCCATAATAAATAAAGTAAGTTTCATAATAAATAAAGCAGTATTTAATTCAGCAAGGCAAATGAGATGTTATAGTGCCTATAGAGATATTATCAGTAAATTAATGTACTACTTTTTAACGCAGTAGCAGGCATGCATTTCAATTCTGTTGTTTCCAGAGTGTTGTTACAGTGTATTAGAAGGGGTATTGCTGTCAAGTTGTCGCCGAGTGTGAGCGCTCTTTACCTCGCTGATACCGCCAGTTCTCCACATCTCGACCCGTTCGCCAAGCCTAAGTCGATCTGTTCTGTCACCATGAGTAGCGTACGGCGGCAGGCCTTCACGGCACAGCAAAAGCTTAAGATCATCGCCGTCGCCAAGTAATTTGGAAATCGCGAAGCGGGAAGACGGCACGATGTGGACGAGTCCTGCGTGCGACTGTGGAGAAAGAAGAAAGAGAGCCTACAAGCCGCGCACTGCGACCGTAGGTCATTTCGTGGCCCCAAGACCGGTGCCTACCCTGAGCTGGAGGCGGAGCTAGTAAAGTTCATCGAAGATGTGAGAAGCAGGGGTCACGCCGTATCGACCGAGATGGCCAGAGTGGAAGTGCGGCGACTTTCGAGGGAGCTAGGCCTACCTCACGAGTTCCGTGCGAGCGACGGATGGCTGCACCGCTTTATGAAGTGGCAAGGGCTCTCGATCAGACGACAGACTACAATATGTCAACGCTTGCCAGCTTCTTATGAGGAGAAGCTGCTCAAGTACCAGAGATATGTAATTGGCCTGCGAAAGCAGCACAATTACATTTTCTCGCAAGTCGGCAATGCGGATGAAACTCCTGTTTATTTTGAAATGCCGTTGGACACAACGATTGGGAAGACGAGCAGCAGTTCGGTGAGCGTGCTGACCGGCGGGAAGACGAAACTGCGCATCACAGTCTTGCTGTCTTGCTTTGTGTCCTCGCCGACGGCACGCAACTGCGACCGTACGTCATCTTGAAAAGGAAAACTCTACCAAAGGTTCATTTGCCTGCCAGTGTGGTGGTGCGCGCACACGAGAACGCATGGATGAACAGTGACTTGTTCGTAGACTGGATCAATACGGTATGGGAGAAGAGGCCCGGTGCGATGCTCGCAAAGAGGTGCATGCTTGTTCTTGACTCGTTCCGCGGCCACACAACTGAGGAAGTGAAGTGCGCCTTTCACGCAACGGCACCGACTTAGTTGTAATACCCGGTGGAATGACGTCAATGTTGCAGCCTCTAGATGTGTCGCTTAACAAGCCCTTCAAAGCGCATGTCAAGCGCTATTACGCCGAGTGGATGGCCGAAGGCTGCTACGACTTGACGCCGACAGGACGAGTTCGAAGGCCTCATATTGCCCTATTCTGCAAGTGGATTGTCGAGGCATGGAAGGCCATTCCAGGTGAGATGGTGCGAAAAAGTTTGAAGAAATGCTGCATCACAAACAACATGGATGGAACCAAAGATGACCTTGTGCATAATAGTGAGGACTGTGGCTCAAGTAATAGCTCTAGCGAGAGGAGCGACAGTGAGTGAATTGTGACTGGCCTTGCAGACAGCGTATTCTGCTTGCTAAATAAAGCTTTTTCTGTCTACATATGTGCTATGTTGCTTGAGCAGTAGCTTTTGTACAGCCTTTCCTGTATATAAAATGTGCGGGCAATACGTGAGAATTTTTTTTTTCTTTCTCGGTAAGCTGAAAGTGGGGGTGTAGATTATATGCAGGGGCGGGTTATACGCACAAAAATATGGTAAGTCGTACCGGCGCGTTTGTTGTTAGTCGCCACCTCGCCATCGTTTTTTACCGATGATAACTCGCAAAGCCATCGTTGCAATCACGCGAAAGTCGGAATAACTGATCAGCTGTTCTCCTTCCCCCCGCTCACACTTATTAACATGGCAGAAAACCGTTCACGACACATTGTGGCATCTGCAAGCTCAGGGATGCAGTTAAACTTTCAGCCACAAAATGCTATCGCGGTACACAGTTACTACGCACTAACCGGTAGGCATAAACCGAACACTACTGCTTATGCGGTCCGCGAATGCATTTGTCTCTATGAGACTCGGTCAAAGGTTCGATTTAACTACGTTTTAACCTTTAGTACATTTAAAATGGGTACATACTAGTGAGGTTTGACTGTAAGTATATAAGGTTCAGTGACACAAGGTTGACTGAGACTGTGACGTGCCAACCTCAAGGCAAAGCCACTGTCCAAGCTTTACCGACAAACATCACTGTCTCGGCAGCACCAAAACTATGTCACAGTCAACTCAAGGTTCCACATTTTTGCGCTGGTACATAGCGCTGTGAATGTGGTTTAAAAACCTTATTTGCAACTTAATCTCTTATTTGCAGCTCTGTAGCCAGTACTGAAAATTCCCTCACGGCTAATGATGGCACTAACTACGAACAGATATACAAAGTGCTGTCTAACCATCTTTAAATTAATGAAAGAAAGATACCAGTATAGTACTATTTTTTATATTGGTAATGATGCTGAAAGACATTACGGTGCAATCATCAAGAAGACCACTAAAATTTCGACTGAGATGAGGAAACTGCAGCATGAAAATGCATCACAAAGGCCAATTGATTGCACTTGAGAGGTGGCACTGTAACGAAAAGAGACTAGTCATGCAAAGTGGTAGCTTGCAGGAAAATGGCTTTCTTTGCAAAGAAAGCTTGTAGCTGCCCCATTACAGGGGCGTTACAGCACTTTCAGTACACTCAGAAAACGCTGTCGATTGGTGGTCAAGGCTCCCGAGAACATTCGAGTAAAACATTATGGCACAGCATGCGGCCTGGTACTTTTACAACTAATTTTCAAAGCCAGCTAGAAATCCTGCCACAAGACCGCTTTTATTTGCCGCTCCTCTGTCTGTTTTTGAAATGTACAAAAATAAAGTTGATTGATTGATTAAAATAGTTCCCTCTTCGTTTTACAAATGATTCCATATACCCGAATGAGCACGCTATATACCCTATAGCCACTAGTTGATTTGAGTATCGAGAGTCACACAGTCACTTAGGCTGCCTGCATCTGCACCTGCAATCACACCGATAGTAAGCAACCTGTCTTGGGGGAAAAGAAAAAAAAAAGTGCTCAAGGTCATGACGTGTACGTGACAGCCTCTTTCCCATGTCTCCCGCCTCGCTGCTTAGCTTCCCACGCATTTGCCGGGAATGGAGAAGAGAGAAAGCAATTAGAGCGTGCGGCACATCTCTTAACTGCGCTCGTACCTAACAGCACTCGTATAACGCCATTGGATGGTAGCCTAAAGAGGTTTTGCAGGGTTCCTTTAATATGAGTTTTAGACAGACAGGATGGTCAATACCTACAAAACTATTATTTTTGTTCTCACCTTCAACGTGGTGCGTCGCCTTTCCTCGGCGATGCGCTTAGCCTCGAGCTCGAGTTCCTTCTCCTTCTGTGCCATCCGCTCGCGCTCCTGGATCGTGACCCTCTCACGTCTGGAGTGTGGAAGAAAGACCCGTCAGACATCAAAGATCTTGAGGCCATCAAAAAATGTGTGAGCTCTGCCACCAGAACTGCAATGCGTTTGCCCTTCACCTGTGGAAGGCTATTCTAGCTCGAACCATAAGCACTTTTTTGGCTAATGTCAAAACTGCAGATGCTATGTCTTAAAGGGCCCCTAAACCACCAAGAGGTCTAAATTTAGCTGTGGTGTTGCAGTTATGCACAAGTATACAACAAACATTGGGCTGTGAGAATGTTTTGAAACAATGCCATAATAGCAGAATTACATGCTTATGATGACAAAAAAGAGGCCCTGCTCGTTTCATACTTTCCTTCGCTATGCTCCATTCGCCAGCTTGTACCTTTTCCTGACCAAGTGCTCCTCCTCACCACGTAAGGAGGAAGAGCAGCAAGCACGCTTACCTACGAGCGGTCAAACAGCTGTTGTAAATGACGAGCAGACATGTTAATGTCAAGGCTAACCTTCCTAGCGCTGCCGCGTTTGTCATTGGTGGTCATGACGGCAACTAACTTGATGCGCACAATTATTGAAATGTTAAAAAATCATCAGAGGTGGTTTAGGGACCATTTAAAGGTTCTCTGTTACAACCCAAAACATGTTTGTCTAAGCAGCGATCTCAGAATCTCTGGAGAAATTTACCAGGACATTAATGTTTTCGACCTAAAACTAAAGACACAAACGTGTGTCTGTATCGGGAAGTAAACTATCTGAATCAGTTGAGAAGTGCTTGACGTCACGAAAATGAGTAAGCGCTATTAAATGGAGCACTTAAGCATATACTCTGTGGATCGCAATGGCTGTGGGTGAAGCTGACAATTTTTTCTTCAGGTGTAAAAAAAAAAAGTACAGGCTATACAGCTTAGATGTAAAAGCAATGCGAAAATACTTGCACAAGTGATCAATTATTGGAATGGCAATGTCGTAACTTACGTCAATGACATATGAACCGACTATAGACTCACTTTCGCACAAACACGGGCTTCAGACGAGGTCCTGTGTCTTCTTCCTCCGATTCTGTGTACTCTTCGTACTCGGATTCTTCCGACTCCTCTTCGTCTGAGCGACCCTCCTCCTCCAAATCAAGAAGCTCCTGAAAATGACAAATGGGAGTGAAAGGAAAAAAAAAAAGTGTCTGATCCCCCTATATAAGAATCGTTATAACACAAAAGTAAAACGTGTCTTTACAGAGGTAGTTAAGAACGGCAAGCAGCTCGAAACTTCCAGCGCACACCTCAAGCAGAAGTTATGCGCGAAATAAGCATACACAGGGCGACTGCATACACAGGATGACTGCAGATTAACAAGGGTCACAGCTCGACACTTAAAGCGCTGTTGAACCAGAAAGAAAGACTCACTAAATGAGTGCACAAGTATGCACAGGACAAGCGCGAACAACTGTCACAATTCTTTCTGTGTCTTGTGCCAGCAGGGCGCTCCTTTTGTAAACACGGCCGCAAAAGCAAGCAAAGCGACCTTCGTACTCTTCCAAATGAAGCATCTGATAGGCGCGTGCGCAGGGCAGACCACGCACCTTGGAGGCGGCACTTTGTGAAGGCGACGACCTTTAGAGTGCGCCCAACACAAGCACGTCGCACCATTTCGCCCCTGATAACGAAAATGCGCTTAAGTTTCAAAACTCTGAGGACTACCAAACAGTGTATGGTGTATGAATGGCTTGCCATTAGCATTTCCGATAACACAGGCTCCATGACGTAGTGATTAGAGCCATGCGCTGGGAATCTAGAGGTTGCTAGTTGGGTTTCGCACCACAAATGCTTGCCTTCTGTTGTTTATAGGGGCGAAGCTCCTTAAGGAGTGGGTCTGTCCATCCTCGGCGTATGTATGTAGCCACCTCTAGTTTAGTTCTTCGATTGTTTACTAGATGGCGGGGAGCTTTGTAATGAAATCCGTTCGCTGTTGGCGCGCGCTTGGAGTTGCCCGATGGATATGGCCGCAGAGCGGCGAGCGCGCAAGGCGGCCGCAGCTTAGTTCTTCGATTGTTTACTAGATGACAAGGAGCATTGTAATAAAATCTGTTCGCTGTTGGCGCGTGCTTGGAATTGCCCGATGGATAAGGCCGCAGAGCGGCGGCAGCGCGTGCTCGCAGGCAGAATCCCGATGTGTGAGACCGCGAGGCAGAAGCGCTCTGTGAAGCTTGGCGGCGCTGCCAAGATCCTGCCGTACGAGAGCGGGAGGCCGAAGCGTGTCGTCTGGCTGCGCGCCGCCGCCGCCAAGATCTCAGCGTTCGAGAACAAGAGGCCCAAGCGTCACAGCAACGGCGTGAGGACCCTGCTGTACATATACACACACAGTGTTTCTTATGTCTTTCTTGATGATGTAGTGGGCGAACTTTCACTGATGAGTCACAGTTTTACCGACGATTTCCCCTCAGGAGCTTCGCCCACTCATCATCATTCACCCCGTGGATATGCTGTGATTTTTTTTTTTCTCTGAAATTTCTTAGCATATATTTTTGAATGTCACTTCTGTGACGGAAGTACGTCAGCAGAGCTGTGGTGGACCCCGACATAAAACACTTTTGTATTAAAAGAAACCAAAAAAAAACTCGCAGGTTTACTTAAGCATTCGCCTAAAATTATTGAAGGTGAAAGCAATTTTGGTTTTCGCCTCCATCTATTGTGTAAATCCTCTTGCCAAAAGCTATCTGCACCTAGCATAATACAGTCGAAACCCGCAATAACGAAATCGCCGTGGAAACCGAAAAATTTCGTTTTTGCGAGAATTTCGTTGCCGCGAGTATGAGACATAAAAACAGTGATATGGCCAGCAGAACGAAAATTTATTGCCAGAAGTCGGTCAACTTACTTTGCCGACCCTTGCCATGTAACAACTTCAAAGCTCTCCCTTCGCACTGGAAAAAGTGGTCCATTGCTACGTCGTTGTCATGTGCGCCGAAGAAGGAGCGAAGGGTGTCCAGCGCATCCAATACAACCTCTGGGTGGTTTCGGATGCGCTAGCGTGTCGTTTCTGCCCACAGTCTCGCTGTCAGCGAAGTTAGGGCTAAAGCCAACTCCGATGACGCGCCGCGCTCTCTTGTAGTAATCTTATCGTCCATCTGATGCGGCCACTCGTAGTAATCTGACCGTGCCGCCGCTTACAGCTTCGTTGCTTGCGACGAAGCACGTCGCTACAAGTGTGCTAGCACGTCGTTCCTGCCCACAGTCTCGCTGTCGGCAGAGTGAGGGCTAAAGACGACTCCGATGACGCGCTGCGCTTGTAGTAACCTGAACGCGCATCCGCCTACTGCTCCTAACTAAAGCATAATTATATCTTAAGTGATCATCGAGCCGTGAACACGTCACGAAGTAGCGATTTTCGAAAGCCATGTCCTCGCGACGCACAAGCAGCAGACGACGATCTCCCGGAGCGAGCATCGGGCCAATGATGAGACGAGCTGAGGCAACATGGCGGCCACAGCCAATCAAAGGCCTCGAAACGACCTTAGAACATTTGCTTTTTGTGCACTTGATTTTAAAGGGAGGGGCCAGCTGAGACGGGAAAGTTAAACATGGAGAAATGCCCTTTCAGTACCCTCGCTAGTGCGGCAAAGCAGACGTTTCTAAATTTTGAGTGCGCATAACACGCATACGAGCATATTTTTTGACAGTTAACCTTTGGCGGGAAGGTAAAATAAGGCCCGCACCATGGTAGAAAATTCGTTGATGCGGGATCGCTGTCCAAAAACACTTCGTTGCCGCGAGATACGTAATACATGGGCTTCTATGAACGTTCGCCGGGGATTCGGAAATATTTCGTTGCCGCGGGGATTTCGTACTCGCAGGGTTTCGCTATTGCGGGTTTTGGCTGTGCACTGTCTCCAAGACCAGAGGCATTGGAAACATGTGCGTCATGTCACCATGACATCGCAAATTTTGGCAATCTATGATAACATCACATGATGATTTTTTGCATTACCCATATTGATGATGATAGTCACATTCACTATTTGAGAATGAGACCTTAATGGACAACGCACAGCTCAGTTGAGTCAATCACAAGATTGCATTCAGCAATATCCAATTAATCAGAGCGACTAGATCAAGCATGGTACACAAAAAGGTGTTCCTTACTGTGGCGCCCACAAAAGGGTCTGTATGACTATAAACAAGGCTTTACGAAATGACTATGTTGGCATGCACAATATAGCATGTGTCCCATTACTTTGACTAAAATCACCAAGATCATTCTATGCGGATGCAAATGAATAGAAGGAATGAATGTTCCAATGCGGCATTATGGGAAATGCACTGGATTGTAATACTACACAGCTCTGATTTCACTCAACCAATAGCTGCAGCTACATAAGAGTCCCATACGACAACACTGCCGTGACAATCTCCACCTGCATCAGTGCGTGCATCAGAAGGCATGTGCGTCAAGCATGAGACAAAATGTAGCAAAAATACGTATGCACTTGTGAGGTTCTACTGTACGCCTCAAACTCAGTGACACGACGCATGATTGTTAATATTATGTTTCGGTCACACTGTTTTACTTTTCTAATCAATGCAAGACACAATGGGCGAGAATAATGTCCCAATTTCCGAATCGAATGAAGTAAACAGAATGGTAAAGCAAATAAGGCAGTAACAAATGCTACAATTTTCTGCACAAAAAGCTCACAAAGCATGCTATGTATCTACAAACCTCTTCTTGCACCCTTGCCAAGGCTCGTTGTCTCAGCATCAGACGTCGGCGCTCGATTTCCTGCAAAGAAGAAAACGGGATGGGCGCTATTTCAGACCACGCTGACTTCACAATGTGTGTGCTCTAACAGAACATCTGCAGCAATTTGTATGAAAACTTCAAGTTCTTCGAGTTAAAGATGAGGTATGTAATATCACTGTTGTAGGTGTATAGACAAAGAATATATTCACAGCTGGTGGTCATGATTTTCTTCATATTTGTATTACTTTATCACTAAAGAGACAGAAGAGCAAAGGAGATGACTAGGCTTGTGCGAATAGTGAATTTTAGGTTCGAAGCGATTTTGAATAGTATATGTGATATATAAAGAAAAACGGGCACATATATTATATCTTACTAACCTGCACAATATGTTTTTAAAAACTGAAATAGAGCCTCTATGCAAATGTCATATTTTTTTGTTCAAAGAGGGTCGAAAGAACTTCAAGTAGTAGCAGGATTTGACTTTCAGCAGGATGCGAGTCATATCCCTTAAAATACGTAACATTTTAAAATCTATTACACTTGGAACATATAAGCTGTCATAATAAGCGTTTAGGCTTAATAAAATGAATTCATTTGAGAGTAATATTTCCATTTAAAGGGGCCATGCAATACTTTTTCAAGTAGCATAGAATGGATTCACTAAAGAAGCTTATTTATTGCGTCTAGAATTCATCGCCGCAAATGAGAGATGAGAGCAATTTTTAGCTGAAATTGAGAATTTATTGAGAATCGCACGCCGCGTGTTGCGCTGTAATATTTGGCTTGCGTGTTCTCGGTAGCCTCGACTACCGATCGGCAGCGTTTTCTGACAATGCTCGAAAAGTGTTGCAGGAACCCTTTAAATTATAAGGGTGGCTTCGCGGCAGAGCGCATATCTCCTGGATAGGTTCTTCCACGGTTTAGTACCCATATGCCGCAGTGAAACCACCTTTACAAGCAGTACACTCGGATTAATATGCATTTATTTGTTCCTTGCGAATACTTTGAAATTTCGAATAATTTAAATTCGAATCGAAGTGAATTCGAATAGCCTACTATTCGTTCGAATACTCGAAGCATTCGAATATTTGCACAAACCTAGAGACAACCCATTAAGGGTTGATAAATGTTATTTTTGCACCCTGCAGTATAATTAGCATGGAAATTGCCCAAAGACACTGTGGACTTGATTGTATACAAATGAGATGTAAAGCTCTTAACTTTGCAAATCAGTCACTTGGTACCGCTGGTCTGACATTGTAAAATCATGCAATACCATACATGGAGGTCCCCTGAAGTCAGGCGTTTCAGTGCAATGTTACCACTCAACTTTCACATCTCCAGCTTTCCGAATTTTATGAAGTCACAGCTCCAGAAGTGCAAACACCTCATTAATTTAAACACATAGTTTCTTCAGATGAGTAAGATATTCATCTACTGTATTAAATGTACACACCAGGTTTCTCAGCAAACACCTTAAGCGATTTCAAAATGCAAATTATAGAGTTGAGGAATGCTGTTCTAATAACGTGTCAGTTGTTGTAATGGGTATTCGCATACATACAAAATACATCAATTGTCAATCAGTAAGCTATTTAACATATTAATTGTTTATTATAACATTTAATTGCAATGTTATTGCTATCCAAACTATAAGAACAGCTATATGCTTTATGTGTTCAGAGACACTGAAAAGGTGCGAAGAAGAGCATAGAATGCCTGCCAGCTAGGTGTAAAACATGGCACTAACCACAGGCGTAGCTGGGGGAGGGGAGTATTCAACCACCTCCCCCAAAGCTTTCACATTTTGCATGTTGTGTACACAGTATACACACACAGATATGCACAGATAAACATATGATAATTACTAACTACCTCTCCTTCCCAAAAATAAACTTTCTGGCTATGCCACAGCGGCAAGCACAGTATAGCAGTTGAGTATTATATAGCAGAATGTGTATTTCTCAGAGAACAGAAAATGCAAACATCTTATATGCTAATGTAAAACGAGTTCTTCTCTTCTGAGCAAGAAACTGAAGCAGACCTCGTCATCAAGCTCCTCAGCGTCACTGTCTTCCTCTCCGTCTCTCCACCGAGCAGCTCGCGTTTCGCTCTCATCCATGGCCTCTTCTCCATCCTCACCAACAGATATGACCTCTGGCTCATGGATCATCCTATGTCTCTCCATTCTAACAGCGAAAACATGAAAATTCGAGCATCAGTTCAATGAGATTGGTACGAGCAATACCAGTTAGCATAACTGGGGTCCATGAACTCCAAACATGAAAATGCTGAGTATCTTTAATAAAAGAAACTGAGCCTGAGTAGGAAGATGCACAAGAGCCACAGCTTCAGGTGTGGGACCATTTCCTCCAGGCTGAAAGGCACTGTCTGCCTAGTGTAGATGGCGAGCTGTGCTCGCTGCACACAATTGTCTTTTAAAGGGACTGTCAATTATCGTTCACTGCTTTTCTGTTTTGAGTCGTTATGAAAAGTGTACCTTCTGAAATGTCTAACCTTGCAGCGACTTTGATCTGCGAAGAGCGATGACAATTGTACTGCCGGTGAAAGTCGAAAACTGAAACCGCGAGCATTTTTTGCAGGCTTTGTCAAGTTATTGCTAGTAATAAAACAAACACCTTACTGACTGTTTTAGGCACACACACACTTTTTTGTTGTTTTTATGAGCGGCGGTGGGCGCCGTGTTCGCGTTTCTCTGCTGTTTGCAGGTAGGCATGCAGGCAAGCGAACACACCGCCGGCAGCGCCACCAGGCACCTATTTAAATGCGCGTGAGAGAAAAAAGCAGAAATTAGTCTCTGGCGCAACTTAAAGCAAGTGCTTTATATACAATTTCAAGTTATACATGCTCGTTTCTAAGCGAAGTAAGTCTACCTGCCAGGATTTCTTGTCCTACCTGTAGATTGACCATAGCTTGACCACATCGCAGTTGGACGATGCTAGTGGTTATTTTTTGTTGATTTTCAACGTTGAGTTAAAATTATAACTCTTTTTTTATGGGACAAAAGCATGCTTGTTGCACGAATAGTTCTCTCATTTGCGCAACAATCGTAAATAATTTTCCGAGCGGTAGACAGTCCCTTTAAGCCCAATTTTACTTAATTGCAGCTCCATGCATTGCTTCTTCAATATAAAATCAAAATATTGCGAGGAAACACAGAAACATTTGTCAAAGATTCACGGCATACCATGCATTACTATAGAGGCTATCACAATGGCCAAGTCATCCGTCTCTGTCACTGTGCACAATGTGATGCTATACACTTCATAGGTGGCTAGACATGACTCATAGCATTGCAGCATGCCCCAGAAAGAATATCACCACGAAGCAGCCTGCAAGCACTAAACCAGTTGGTTCGGTGCCTGCAGTCTGCGTAGCAGACTTGTGTGTTATGTTGCCGATATCGATGACAAATTTATTCGCAATTATTTATTTATCTGCACTTCATCTACATCGCCGTAAAGCGTTACATATGGGAGGTACACGTGGATAATATCATAACATGGTGAACTTCACAAATTACAAACGTCACAGTAATGCATTTTGAACACCCAAATGCTTCGATAGGACAAACCATTCTTATTGGCAGTGATATTGTGGGTGTTCTTACAAGGAAGAAAAAAAAAAAAGGATTTAATATCAGTTCCATTAACGATATCATCCAGTATTGTTCTATTCCTATAATGTTTTTACGAAAAAAAAAACTACCAAAAGAGTGGGTTTTGTAGGGGTATTCAAATATTTTTCGTGAATTGTCTCATCGATTAGAGAGGTGCGTTAGTATGAACAGATAATCGAGGGGGTTAATGGTGTTTCTATTGTAATAAATACTATGAAGAAATTTAAGCCACAGTTTCTGCCTCCTTACCATTAGTGGCTCCCATTTCCGAAATGCTTGCGAAGGGATTATAGTTGTTGCTAACAAATATGGCCACTTGGTTTTGAACTTTTCCAGTCTGTCAATGAAGTATTGCTGATGGGGATCCCATATTAAACAAGTATAACCTAAAATATGTCTCACTAGCATCAGATAAGGGGGTTGCTTCACGGTCTGTAAAGGTTGCTTAAATTTTCTACGTTTAAAGTATAGCATTCTACGTGCCTTTGTAACAGTCATATCAATGTGTTCAATGCACTTGAAATTGTTGGAAAAATAGATGCCCAAATATTTATAATGAGATTCATTGCTAATTATTGCATTATTAATTTCATACATTGTACCTACTTTACAAATGCAATTAGTGAATGATACGCAGCAACATTTCCAGATGTTTTAGACTCATTTGCTATTTCTGACACCACGTTGATATTCTGCACAAATCATTTTGTGAAATTTCAGCGTCATTGTGCGATTTGATCTCTCTAAACACTACTCTAAAAATGGGATATTTTTTTTTTTACTCTATACAGTATGTTTTATTGACACTCGTGATGGTGTCAACACGACCCCGAAAACAGCTACTGGAAGGAAAAGGACTCACCGTTCCTCTTCATTAAGCTGCTGCTCCCTTCGCTGGAGACGGCGCAGACGTGGGTCATTCTTCTCCGCTTCCTCATCGATGGGGATGGGCTCGGGAACGACTGGTTGCTGCCGTCGTTCAAACGTGAACTCATCTCCACTCTCCTCATCGCTGCTTTCCTTAGGAGCGTACTTAGGTCTGTGGATAGCAGTGGGAGTCCCAAGTTATAAATGCCGGGTGCCAAGTGAAACAAAGGCTTCATATTTTCAGATTATTCACGTCATTCCAGCGTCACAGCACTAAAACGCCGAGCAGAGCTACCCGAACTATTCCATCGTCGCAAACTTGCACGCCTATCACTTTTCCATAAACTTTATCACCACGTGTCACTTCACAGCGATTTCTTCGAGCCACCTGCCGTTATTTTTCCTCGCCGCGATCACCCCTACAAAGTTAAACGCTTAAACTGTAAGTCATCTGCTTTTTCCAAGTCATTCATTCCGCGTACCATAATCGATTGGAATAAACTACCATCACACATTTCCTTAGAAAAAAACGCCACTAAATTTCAAGAACTAATTCAAAATACTGATATCATCTAACTTTTGCTTTTTTACTTGTTTTTCCCTCTTTTCTATAACGTGCAGAGCACACGTGTAGTATTCTTACCTTGTTTCAGCTTATTTGAGGTGTGATGAGTGAGTGTATATTTTTTATTCGTTTTTGAGTGTACGTTTTTTTTTTTTTTTTCCAAGTGTATTGATTATTTTTTCTTGCATTTTCATAGGTTGTTCACTAGGTACTCATCTGTATTCTAATGATTTGTTGCCTATTCTTTTCTCTATTTTTTGCTGTCTTTACCAATTACTAGTTATAACATATATCTCAACCTTAGTCTGTATTTAATTTGAATTTTTTTACTTTTTTCTCGTTTTTGACGTTTATTGTTTATTTTGCTCATGTAACCCCCCTATGTAATACCCTCTCACGAGGGCCTTTAGGGGTACTATGAATAAATAAATAAAAAAAAAAGGGTTCACAGGCAGGTGCAAGACACGTGGTAAATTGCGGTCAAACAAGCAGGCATAGCGCCTGCGCTAGCATTACGATCCTATTTACTAAAGACATAAGTGTAAGACGTCCATGGTTTAGCACTATCTTTATCTCCTTTGCTTTTGCACATAAAATCGATTCTGCTATGGCGCCGAAGGCAATATTCTGAGCGACATCTTCTGATGACTGAGTTCATTTCTCTATGGGAGGGCTGCAAGACAAGAGCGGGGAATGACATTGATAGTAAGAAAGTGAAGTCACCTAGTTTAAAGCTGAAAATGCCGCAACAGACTCCCCTCCGCTTTTACGAAGTGTACACCAACTACACTTTTAAGGAATGCTTCACAGGTAGTTCACTTACCTTCTTCCTGATATGTATCTGTGCACTTTCACCTTTTGCATGGACACCTCGCCTGGAAACGAAATGGCAAATTCATGTTATTTAAATTTATTTGTGGAGATGCACAATAATTTGACAGAACGAGACCAAGTTAGGCGTCTTTTTTTCGAGTCCTTAGGAGATAATCCAATTTACTAAGGGACGAGACGTTTAACAGCTGGTTACGAAATTATAAGCATCTTCTTTGTAATTTTGGTTACCAGTGCTGAAGAAGAGTCTCTATAGTTAGAATGAATTTTGTGTTTCCTGTGACCTGTTACATGCCATAAATGCCCACACTACCACGCATTTATGAGATAGTTGGTAAATGACAGAATCAAACAGCGCCGGGAACGAAATTATACAAATGGGATGTCGCCCCGTTTTTTGCTTCCTTCAGAGCACTTTTTATTTAGCACTTTATCAGTGAACATCTTGGTTTGCAAGTAAAGATTGCACGCTGTCCCAACAGCTGGTTAAAAGTCGAAAATATACGCGAACCGTGATTCGAATCAAAACGAAACAAGCGGGCTTTCGCAATACGAATGTTTCGTGGGACTTACTGTACCCCGTGTCATACGGAACAAACTAACGTGTTAAGGAAAAGGCGTACAACTGAATTCTGCGGGTAGACATCGGTAAACAAGTATGAACTGAACTGGTAATCCTTGTAGGTGATATGAACGATGAATGTGCGATGCATCATACAAACACTTACCCTTTTCATTAAGGACGGGAATGGCGCCCGCTGTTGACTGAATCAGATTTGACGCCTGTGAGGCGTTCATTGAGCCCGACATTGTGGCACGATTATGTAGTAACGCGAGTGAAAGTCTTGGTCAAACACTACACTTCGCTATCAGTCAACCGCGCACGCAAACTGCAAAAGCGGCCATTACAAACGGCTAGCAGATCGGCATGGGCTTGGCTTTACACGGATTTACAACGTTTGGAGCACTGTAGACTAGTACGGCAAGTTAAAAAAACAAAAATACGTATTAAACAAACAAAAGAAAACTTTGTGGTATCAAACTTGTGATGTATATGTAAACTGTAGAAAAAAAAAACTAAATGAGAAATGTAAATTAAGACATTAGTGGCTGCCATGTTAAAGCATACAATTATGTTAACAACAACAACAACAAAAAAGTTCATTTAACATTTTAGATGCAAACAAAACTCGTAGTATGAACAAGTAATAATCGTTTTTGAGTATAATAAAGTACAAACAATTCTTAACGTTTATTTCAAACATGTATTAAAGTCTTGTGGCTTTACAAGTGTGATCTTTGGGGGCATCTGCACTGGAAATGCTACGCTGGCACCGTTGCAATACGCAAATAGCAGCGCACATTGAGCGCGTGTTCAAGTTCACTGTAGCAGGTTGGCAGAGAGTTTCATATTTTAATTGTATGAAACTCTATGCAGGTTGGCTTTTGAAAGTTTTGATCGAACAGTTTGCATCATGACGGCGCTCCAATAACTGAAGAGGTAACAAGCAACTTGATGATGATGATGATTAAAGGCCTCCTTTTTGAATTGGGGTGACGGCATGCGTTATCTAGCCTACCTTAATAGTTCGAGTTTAAATTTTGTCCCTCAACTCGGATGTCTTTTTAATTTTGCCCAGCCGCTACTCTTGGCTGGGATGTTATTTTATCGACTTCTCTGCTTTTCCTCCACCAATACTCCAGCCGCTGCCTAGTAATACCTACTGCTGACCAGTTAATGCTTCCATCAACCGCGAAGCCCAGCGCCTCAGGAAGTGTGACTTTCCCCCCATTTCTATCTGGCTGAATCTTTTGGCATTCCATGACTATGTGGTCGATTGTTTCTTTATTTATGCCACATCCAACACATGTCTCACTTTAGGGAGTATAACTAGCGCCACACTGGTTTTATATGTCTACGCGACTATTCGCGGTTAATGGACGCCTTGTGTGCAATGTGCCTTCGCCGATTTCAAACAATGTGAATCCCATGTGACATCTGCCGCCTTCTGAACGTGTATGTTTTCCGTCCGCTAATCGCGTTTTAAGGCGTCGCAGACGCCTATTGAGCAAGCTTATCTACTATATAACCAAGAAAGCCTGAGGTAAGTATTCAGTCGAACAGGGACGCACGATTGTGCTATCGTGAACGCATGCCGTGTAAGCGTAAATCCGGCATCATTTACGTGCTATAGATGCAAAGTTTTAGTCATCCTGTGCGGTTCTACTATTAAGTGGAAAACATTTGTCATCATCACCATTATTGTGAGTCTGTTGACTGTGTCAAGCATTGGGTTTCCTAGCGGGCGACGGCTTTATACTGCTGTAAAGAAACCTAGTTGTATCTGCGCTTAAATATGAATACACTGGGCACATATTTACCTACAATGGCCGTTCGAGTAATTTTAGGTCTGCCTATGTCTGCGTTGTATTCGTAATATTTGTGCGCAGCGTCAGCAGTTAAAATAATTTTTGTGCTCCCGGCCTTCCTCTTAATCTCTTTCTCTAGATTTTGTTGCCACTTGCAACGGAGTGAACTGTGGCCTTTGCGTTTCGCAGGTGCGCGGCAGATCGACCACGATGTTGTCTAACACCGACTTGCTTTCCAACTGCGAACGTGACTTCATCAAGATCGCAGTGTCTGAAGACAAGCGGGTTGACCATCGGACTTCCAAGGAAAGCAGGCACGTGCGAGTATCCTTTGGCCTCGACAGGGGATGCTGCGTTGCCTCACTCGGTGATACCAAAGTCATGGTGCAGGTAAGCGTAGTACGCTGTTGATCAAAGTCCTCCGCTAATACTCATTGATTGTTATCAAGCTGTTTCAAATTGATATGCAGGTGTCCGCCGAAATCATAGTTCCAAAACCTGGAAGGCCCACAGAAGGTGAACTGTTTGTCAACCTTGAACTGTCGCCGATGGCAGCACCACACTTCGAAGCAGGTAGACTTGGGGACTACGGTGTCGAAGTTGCTCGCCTCTTGGAGCGCTGCATTCGCGACTCCCAGTGCATTGACCTCGAGTCCCTGTGCGTGGTGTCGGGCGAGAAAGTATGGGCACTTCGAGTCGATGCGCAGGTGTTAAACCATCAGGGCAACATTGTAGAATGTGCCGGCATAGCAACGATTGGCGCACTCATGCACTTTCGTAGGCCCGACGTCACCGTCATTGGGACAGAGGTGACCGTCCACAACCCGAGAGACCGGGAACCGGTTCCCCTGCACCTCCACCACTATCCTTTCCTTGTGTGCTTTGCCTTCTACGACGATGGAAAGACTGTACTCACTGACCCCACTGATCTGGAAGAACGGATTGCCGAGGGCCTTCTGTCCATAGCTGCAAATGCCCACGAAGAGATTTGCTTGCTGCATCAGCGAGGTTGCACCGTTCGCAAGGATTTAGTGTTGCTCTGTTCCCGACTGGCCTCGGTTCGTGCTAAAACGCTTGCCACGATGATTAAGGCCGAAATTGCCAAGGATGATGAAGGAAGGATGAAGAACAGGAGGGTTGGCTTTGCCGCTGCCCTTGAAGTTGATGAGGATGAACGCTTGACAACGTTGCTGGAGCCAGAAAATATCGAAATTGACGACTGCGGAGTCACAGGAAGCCCCTGCGGAAAAACCCACATCAGCAGTCGAGATGCCAAATGTTGTATCCAAAGCTAAAGTGTTCTTGGAAGGTATAGGGACGGCAACGATCGGAAAAGGTGGTCCCAGCAGCTGGGGTGTACTGGAGCATTCAGAACAGGCAGCAGCCAAAAATGCTGGAAAGGGCAGCAGAAGAAAGAGGGAACCTGCACTACAAATGGCAGAAGAGGACAGCAGCAGTGAAGAGGAAGAACTGGTCGTGCTCCAACCTGAAGATGCAAAGGCAAAACAAAGTGATAATAATGCTGGGGCTGCTGAAGGTGATACAGTTCGTGGGTGGTATCCAAAGACCCCATTCTGAGCTTCAGCCATCTGTATATGTGTGTGTCATGCAACAGACAGTGTTCTTAATGGCAGGGAGAAAGGCAGGGTAGGGTTTTTTATGGTGTCTAGTTTGTATGCCTCTTTTAAGGGTATATAGTTCTTATGCAGTTTTCCCTAATGAATTGAGTGATTCGGTTGGAATTGCCTCATGATAATTCAGTGAAGTGGGGGGGGGGGGGGGGGCCTCTAAAATATGAAATGGTTTATCCGCTTGACAGAGGTGATGGTGGTAGATGTGCTTAGATTTCACGCTTAGTATCTAATCTGTAAAAGCAGTTGGGTAAGTGTAACGTAATATTTTGTGCATTTTGAGAAAAAGTTGCATTGTTACATATGTTTTTGTGTGCCTGGCATGGGATGTATGATTACATTCAGCAAGCAATACACCTGGAAAGCGAGATGACAAAAATGTGTCAGAAATGTGTATCAATAGCCATATAAAAATTTGTTCATCTTTAAGGTACGATATGATTATTTAATAAATGAGCCTCAATAATATACTTCATATAATCTAAGGTAAAAAGTGCTGAAGTATGGTGAGGCTCAGGATGAGGAGATGGCATATAACAGTAATGTCGATGGCAATGGCCGTTGGCAACATAACGAAATGAATTCGCGTTCGAGAACTCATTTTCGAGCAATTTGCTGCTATCCTCGAGAGAAAAAAATTATGATAACGTAGCATACGCTGATTTATTAAAAAACTGGTGCATATAGAGAACGCAAATTCACAGCGTGCTACAGCAGCTGCCGTAATCACGGCTTGCAGCTTGTAGAAGTTTTGTTATTGCTAGTGGTAACATGTTGAAGACTGACCACTTCAACTTCTTCGAATGTACCTTGTTTCCGGGGTGGTAAATTGATCATCTTCTGGTTTGCTTCCTTGTCCTGGAGCACCAGGCCACTGCGAACAAGTTATCCATACAAGTGCAGGTTAACAGTAGCTTATAAAATATTGTTTCTATGAGAAAGTAGCCACCATCACGTGAACGACGGTGCATTAAGCTATTAAGGAATTTTGCTCCTCTAGTCGACAATCTTCTAAAGAAGGAAAAATTAAGCCGCTATCTAGGCTCATAAGGAAAATGTCCAAGCAATTATTGTAATGTGAAGGAAACCCTAACCCCTAACGTCATTATTACATACACACACAGGACCTCATTACATGTGCTAGCTATTGCTAAAAAATGTTACAAAGAATATTGCTTCTGAGTACAGCTATGTTCACAATGTCACTGTAGCCGGAACTTGAACTACGTCGAAGTTTAGCGACTTCCAACAGCGACGATGCAAGGGCCGCTACAGGACACTAAACACTTACTGTTAACTGTTATCTTTCGGCACTAAGATAGGGTTGCCTGGGCTCTTCTCACAACTGAAGGTTCGTTGAAGTGAAATGACCCAGAGTGTGAATGACCACACTCTGGGTCAGAGCGTTGTAACACACACACATGCATGGCACGCACACACACAGGGTGTTCTTTTTAGGGGTGAAGCTCCTTAAGGCGTGGGTCTGTACATCCTCAGATGTTGTACATAGCCACCGATGGCACATACCCTCTCTAGAGCGGGTATGTGCCACAGGGGATGGGAGATGGTGGTACTTGGAGTGTTCACTAGATGGACGCATGGACGAATGAACAGAGAGACTAGCAGAAGGATGGACAGACGCACGCAGTGGGTATGTGCCACAGGCGGTGCTTGGAGTGTTCACTAGATAGATGGACGGACGGGCTGACAGATGCTTTGCCCCCCAGTCATCATCATTCACTCCATGGATATGCTTTAATTTTTTTAAGCAATACCAATTCTTTATTTAAGAACTATATTGGTTAGGCATTTGCAATCTTCATCGTCATTCACTCCGTGGATATGCTTTAATTTTTATATGCTTCAATTTTTTAAGCAATACAAATTTTTTATTTAATAACTATATTGGTTAGGCATTTGCAATCTTCGCAGATAATTTCAAGGCCGAGGAGGAAATATAGGAAATATTTCGCTACTGTCTAGGTCACTCAGAAATGATTAATATGCAAAATTATTTCAATTAACTTTTTAACAATTTTATGGTGGTCCTACTTCTCGTTTGTGAGATTAGCATGCTTCACTTAGCATCATCTCCCCCACCCACATTCCAAAAAAAAAAGTAGGGAAGATGTTACTTTTTTGGCGAGTCCTGTGACTCCCGTCTTGCCATGCACCTATGTGTGTGACTCTCTTTACAGAGATAACTCTCTTACGGTGTCATGGCTCTCTAAGAGAGTATCATGATCTCCGACGTGATTTCACAAGTCTCTTTATAAGAGTAACGCGCATGGCAAATCAAAGAACTCCGCTGTTTTTCTTAGGCATACAGTATTGATTTTTTTTAAGAAACTTAAGTTCACATAGGAGCTGACGTGAGCGTAAGAATAATAACGAAGAATGTCATGCAGCTAGAATACTGGTGCAAAAAGCATGCTTGCACTTACCCGACAAACAGTTTAGGATGAGTGTAAGTAGACAAAGGAGAGCGCTGGTGGCGACATTGCAGCCCATCTTTACAGTTGGCCGGGATGACAGGTTCACAACCTTCGGGCTCGGCGTATACGTGGAGTCTAAGGACGTGGGGACGAGCTATCGAATCCTTCTTACTACTGGTTCGATCGGTGATCTGCCTCTGTATTTTCCTATGAAAACTGAAGCAGAACGGCAATGCCAGTACACCAGGCTCTGTCCAAGATCTTCGTCTTCTTTCTGCCCAGCGTTTGATTGATTGGTACCTAAATATCTTGGTGCAGCCCCCAGGGATTGGGCAAGCACTGAGATTCAGTTGACATGCCTGCTGTTACTATGCCAAAGTACGTGTGCATTTTTCGGCCACGAAAAAAATTTTTCACTCTCAACCAGCGACTCCAACACAGGAATTTCTGCGAAATGAGCTCCTTAATGTAATCGCCTTAAAAAGTTTTTCGCTTGTTCTCTGCTCAATACATCTTTTTTAAACTACGAGAGTCCTGTCAAATTAGGAATGATGTATATTGGCAGCCCGCTAATTTAATGACTGCAAGACAGCTTGTTCTTTGTTGCTGTGGCCAATAAGGCCGAGAGACACGCACATAATATAAAGAAAGAAAAGTTACAGACAGACCCGTAGTGAGTGCACACCCTCTCACCCATACTTGACGTATGTGTACAGGAGTGGTCAAAAGTTCTCCAGCCGCATTGCCATAGACGATATGGCAGCCTGATTACTTTTTGCAACCCCTGTACATTGTTGTCTACAACCTATAAGCATTCAAGTAAGCATAACTTCATTTCTTTGTTCTATATGCGAGGTTATACATGGCTTTTCGCACTTATCATGCGGACATTTATTAGTGAAACATCAGCCTGCCAAGTTCAACATCAAATTCGAGTGCCTATCAAAAGCATGAATAGCAAAGAGGTGTTCGCTGAAAAACATAACTAATCTCGGTGCTTTCATGCGCAGAAGCAGTGCTGCATTTTGTTTTCTTTCTTTAGCTAAATTTTTTTTTGTTCAGTAGGGCACTTGCTGGTGCTGCATGCAACTCAAGAGTGTGTCTATCAGTAGCAAATACGTATCGTAATGGCAGTGTACTATGGCTGGTTCAACAGAGTACACCGATTGAACGAGCTCTCCCCACAACCTGGTAATCAAATACAACAATTAAATTAGCAAATATACTCTTATTGACCGGTTTGCAAACTGCAACTCAGCTTCCCAGTAGTAGTAAAACTGCTAGTAACAGTACTGCAGTGCGTGCTGAAAGCAAGCACACGAATAGCACACTCAGTCACTCCACATAGTCTGGAAATCGAATTGAAATAAATTCAGAAATACAATAGCACCCCTCCCCAGTGTCCCCGCTTCTTGGCACAGGGCTCTCAAACTCCGGTCCACGTGCGAGCCAAAATTGGCTAGAACGTGTGCTGTGGATCAGGTGATGGTGCACGATGCTGAGACCAGCTGGTGCTGCTGTCTAGCCTGCTCCACAGGCGTACTGGCTCATTCTGGGTGACGTAAGGCGGTACTGCGTAGACGCCACGTGATGTAAGCGACGAATTTGCACAGGAACTACTTCACTTCTGAACTTCCTCTAGTGGCCCGGTAGCATATCTGCTACTTGAAAAGGCTATGCACGTGAGCCTGGTTATACACTCAAACGTCAATATAATGAACAATATAACGAAATGATAGGTTATAACAAAGTAAATAAAAATATTCTTGGAATATATATAGTGTCACAAATAAATCATAACGATTTCTTGAATATAGCAAACTTATTTTAGGCTAAGATGCTACTTTGTTATAAGGAAGTCAGGAGAGCGCACTCAAACAAGTAAGTCACATTTGACACAAAAATAACTTCCTTACATCACGAATTTTGTTATTAATGTATATTCATAACACTCCATCTATTCACGAATTTTGTTATTAATGTATATTCATAACACTCCATCTATATCACAACTGTTCTTCATTTGCTTTGATATATCCGATAAATCGTTACATGGCATGTCCATTACATCAAGGTTCAAGTGTTTGGCACAGGTACTGCTTTTGTCGAACATTTTAAACATGCTGCTTTTTTAAACAATAATTGTTGTTATCGACTTGAGCACACTTATCTATATAAAAAGCTGTGCATGATAATAATTTACCACACAATTACTCTTTATGAATCACAAAAATAGCACGTAAAATCATAATATTCAAACCAACCTTAAGCCACCGCTGTAACCGCGTGAAGTCATTATCATTGAACGACCGGTCACTGCCATTATCGAAAGGCGTAACACATTTTGTGGCACATTCTGGTGTTGGGGAGTTGAGCATCACAGTGAACTTTCATGGGACAAAAAGTAATCGCTTTTTGCATTTGTGGCTTCTTGCGTTCGAATGCATTGTTTCATTAGTCGACGGCGTACGTGGGTGCGGAGAATGGCGTCAGAAAAATTTGCAACGCGAAAATTGACCTGCAAGTGTTCCACGCTGCCTCTTTTTTCTTTTCCCTTACTTCCATTCTGCCGGTGAAGAAACGCCGCGAAAATGAGCGACCTTGCTCGCAGCGTCCGAAATCTGCGTGCGGTGATATCTCTGAAGAAGATATTGTGGTCTGTGATATATTCCTTGAGAGTAAACTGCAGCGGGGCATACAGAGCACGCGCCTCTCATATGCATGCCTGTTTCAAACGTTTTTTCCTCTTCCTATGCGCCTTATTTTGTGCGACCGTATCGTGTCGGACGTGCTCATGGCAACAGTGGTAGGCTTTGAAAAATGTTCGCTATATGTGGACGCAGTTTCTATGGGTGGCATATAAAAATCCTACGTGTACGGAAATACGTTCGTTACAACCTATAGATCGTTATAAGTGGGTTCGACTGCATAATTTATTATGAATTCAGGACATTACCCCAATAAATGTGTCATGCAGTATTGCTGCAACGGGACCACAGTGTAATCAAGAGGTTAGCGCACTCCCCCAGCACCCTGTCTCACCCTGAAGCTCTCAACACAAAACAAGAACTCACCTTTACTTGGTGACCGCTGTTGGGGGTCATGCGACCTGAGAGCCGCTGTCATGACCATTGGGCCTGGTGCCATGGTCATTGGACCTGGTGTCATCAACGCAGTGACTGCTGAAGACCGGTCAGGCATGAAGCGGTGGTAGCAAAATGTGCCCGCAATTACCAGTGCCAAAATGATACCAGGTATGCTTCGCAGCCAGCTTGACCATGAACTCTCGTTTTCTGTTTTGAAGAAGGAGGTGTCGCAATAACTAAGGGTCACTACCACATAATCCAAACCTCATTATAACAAAGTTGCATGTTACACGAAAATAAGTTTGTTATATCCGAAAATGCATCATGAAAGTGTATTACTAACACTGTCTATTACCATTTTTCATTTACTTCATTATAAGCAATATTTAGTTATTGGGGACCTAATAAAGTTGTGTCACTCACTCATATCCGGGTTCATTATATAGAAGTTTGAGTGTAGTCTATAGTGTAATATTTGCAGTTTTTTTCACGATCTTGACTAAGTGCAGTGTCTACGTGAAACCAAAGCTATTTGGCTCAGTTTTCCAACCAGTGGAGACATAAAATGCACCTGCATTTTCATATGATCCCACACACACACTAGCACAAAAGCAAGCAGTGTCCTTTTATTAGTGGATCTATCAACATGACAGATAGCCAAAATTTGTGACGTCACATGTCATCACACGACGTCGTCGCCCAAAGGTGGGCTAATCCTGAAGGCAGCGAAAAAACAGGTAATGTGCAGAAAGCCCGAAATGCTTCCAATCTGGGCGGCAGTGAAATACCGTTGAACCCCCTTTAAAATTAAGACATGCAACAGGAAACCATTCTTGTCTTTTATATGAGGTCTTTTATATTTTCATAACAACCCGCATTTGACTGTAGGCACACTAGTGTATCTTATACCCAACAGTGTTGATAATTATCAGTGTCTTGTTTTTAGGAGGGGGAAGGGGGGGGGGGCAGAGATCAACACATTGACAAGAAGAAAATTTCATATTGTTAAGCGGTTTATTGGCGGACACTCAGCGATGATTAACGACAGCGACAGTCAATGCGGGGATCGACTCTCTGCGCGAGCTGCTCTTCTTCTTATGAAAAAGGGCGACCCACTAAAAGGCGCTGAAGAGGACGACCCACTGTTCAAAGGCTTTACCACAACTACCCCGGGTACGAAAAGGGAGCCGCCTGGCGACCTAACAGGTGGTCACAATGAGCGGGTCATGGTAGGCCTTCAGGCGCTCCACGTTAACAATGTCGCGTCCTCGACGACGCATGCCCGAAGATGGTTCGATGGGTTCAATCAAGTAGTTGACTGGGGAAGTGCATTTGACGACACGGTAGGGGCCTTCGTATTTAGGCAATAGTTTTGAAGATAGGCCAGTTGCAGTAGTAGGGATCGAGAGCCAGACGAGCGCTCCAGGGAGGAACGTGGGCGCAGTAGAGCTGGCGTCAGCGCGAATGACTTTTTGCCGCTCTTGATCATGCGCTGTAAAGGTCCTTGCAAGCTCTCGACACTCTTCAGCAAGCTTGGCTGTAGCAGAAATAGGCGCCCACTCGGACGGATCTGGCTTGTACGGAAGTATAGTGTCGATGGTGTGCGACGGGTGCCTTCCATATAATAAAAAGAAAGGTGAAAAGCCAGTAGTGCTTTGAGGGGCGGTGTTATATGCGTAGGTGACGAAGGGTAGAATGTCATCCCAATTTGTGTGATCGACGGCGACGTACTTGGAAAGCATGTCGCCGAGCGTACGGTTGAAGCGTTCCGTCAGGCCATTCGTCTGCGGGTGGTAAGCAGCAGTTTTGCGGTGAACAACGTTGCACTCTTTGAGAATGGCTTCGACGACTTCAGACAGGAAGACGCGGCCTCGATCTCTGAGCAGTTCCTGAGGTGGACCGTGTCGCAGCATGAATCGTTGGAGCAGGAAGGAGGCCACATCGCTCGCTGTAGCCGCGGGGAGAGCGGCAGTTTCGGCGTATCGCGTGAGGTGGTCCACAGCAACAATGGCCCAGCGGTTACCAGCTGACGTTAGTGGAAGTGGCCCATACAAATCGATGCCAACGCGCCCAAACGGCCTGGCAGGGCAAGGTATAGGTTGCAGACCTACCGGTGACAGTTGCGTGGAAGTTTTGCGGCGCTGACATTTTATGCAGGAGCGAACGAATTTTTGCACGTAGCGGTACATGCCGCGCCAAAAGTACCGTTGGCGAATGCGGTGGTAAGTCTTCGATACCCCGGAGTGCGCACATTGCGGATCAGAATGAAAGAATTCACATATGTCAGAGCGCAGACTGCGAGGTATGACTAGTAGCCACTGGCGGCCGTCACCGTTGTAATTGCGTCGGTGGAGGAGGTCGTCGCGAATGGCGAAATGGTGGGCTTGACGACGCAACGCGCGAGTGGATGGAGTGGATGGATCAGTCAGCAAGTCTATCAGTGAGGCAATCCATTGATCCTTGCGCTGTTCAGTAGCAATGACATGAATGCTAATCGAAGAAATGGCAAGGTGAGACACTGAGTTGTTGGCATTGTCGTGAGGCAAGAGAGAGCGCGACAGGGCGTCGGCGTCAGCATGTTGCCTTCCATTGCGGTATAGCATGCGGATGTCATAGTCTTGCAGGCGAAGTGCCCACCGGGCGAGACGGCCTGAGGGATCTTTTAATGACGACAACCAGCATAGTGCGTGGTGGTCGGTGACGACATCAAATGGGCGACCATACAAATAAGGTCGGAACTTTGCAAGGGCCCAGACGATTGCCAAACATTCCTTCTCGGTGAGTGTAATTAGTCTCGGCTTTAGTAAGCGTACGGCTCGCGTACGCCACGACATATTCCGGGAACCCTGGTTTGCGCTGCGCAAGGGCAGCGCCGAGGCCGACACCACTGGCATCCGTGTGTACCTCTGTAGGGGCCGTAGGGTCGTAGTGGCGGAGTATGGGAGGCGACATCAACAAACGACGAAGTGTTCTGAAAGCGTCGTCGCACTGTGATGACCACGAATGGAGAGGCCCGTTACTTCCGAGAAGCTTCGTCAGCGGCGATATGATAGTCGCGAAGTTTCGAATGAAGCGCCGAAAGTAGGAACACAGTCCTACGAAACTGCGCAGTTCCTTGACGGATGTCGGCTTGGGGAACTCGGTCACGGCGCGAAGCTTGGCTGGATCAGGGAGAATTCCGCCCTTGGACACGACGTAGCCGAGTATTGTCAGCTGCCGAGCTGCAAATTGGCACTTCTTTAGGTTCAGTTGCAGACTGGCGTTGCTCAGACGCGTTAAAACATGCCGAAGGCGTTGAAGATGGGTCGAGAAGTCAGGAGCGAAAACGACGACGTCATCGAGGTAGCACAGGCACGTGTGCCATTTTGGGTCACGCATAACTGTATCCATCATGCGCTCAAAGGTGGCGGGCGCATTGCACAGCCCAAATGGCATAACGTTGAACTCGTACAAGCCGTTGGGAGTGACAAAAGCGGTCTTCGGTCGAGCGTCCTCAGCCATAGGTACTTGCCAGTACCCTGAGCGCAAATCGAGGGATGAAAAGAATTCTGCTCCTTGCAGGCTGTCAATCGCGTCATCTACCCGCGGTAGTGGATACACGTCCTTACGAGTGATCTTGTTGAGGCGTCGGTAGTCCACACAGAACCGCACAGAACCGTCCTTCTTCGTGACGAGAACGACAGGAGATGCCCAGGGGCTGCTAGAGGGGCGAATAACATCGCGGCGAAGCATGTCGTCGACTTGCTCGTTGATTACACGGCGTTCTGTGGGAGATACGCGATATGGACGTTGCCGCAGCGGTGGCTGTGCGCCTGTGTCGATGCGATGCGTAACGGTGGATGTGCGGCCGAGAGAAGGTTGAGCGACATCGAAAGAAGAGCGGAATTCTTCCAACAGGCCCAAAAGCTGGGAACGCTGGCCCTGCGTAAGGTCGTCGGGTATGCAGGGACCGAATATATCATCGGATGATGAAGCAGATGTCGAAACAGCACCAAGCGTACAGGAACTTGGGCAGTGCACGTCATCGGGTTGATCCATAACTTGCGCGTCTTCGATGGGTTCCACGCTGCCGAGACATTCTCCTCGCACCAACGTAACGCTGTACGGAGATGAGTTCACAACAAAAATAGTGGTGCTGCCGTGAGTGAGTTGCACGGTCGCGAAAGGAACCAGCAAGCTTTTTCTTATGAAAACTCGATGAGATGGCGAGAGGAGTGCAGCGGCGTCAGAAAGGCTTGCGCAGTAGAGCGACACCGCAACGGACGAGTTTGCAGGCACTTGAGTGTCGTCTCTGACGAGTAACTTGCTTGCAGCGGAAGGACTGTCGGCCGGCGTCAAAGAAAAGAATGGCGTTAGTTCTATTTCTGCTGGTGCGCAATGAATGACGGCGTCGTGGCGGGAGAGAAAATCCCATCCTAGGATGACGTCGTGAGAGCATGAAGAAATTATGATGAATTCGACCGCATACATCACGTCCTGAATCATAAGGCGGGCTGTGCACATCGCCGTAGGGTGAATACTTTGGGCGCTGGCTGTACGGAGGGAGAGCCCACAAAGCGGCGTGGTCACTTTGCGCAGTAATCGGCTAAGTTTTTCGTCCATCACGGATACGGCGGCTCCAGTATCTACAAGGGCATATGCACGAACGCCATCCACAAGCACGTCTATCACGTTCGACGGGCTTTCCTGAGGGCTTCCGCAGTTCGACAGCGTCGCAGCCCTTGCCTCGTGGACTGCGACGACTAGTTTTCCTGGTCGCCCTCGAGTGGACGTGGCCGCATTGGCGACAGTGAGCGACGTCGTGGAGATGGTGAACGGCGGGTAGACGGAACGGGGCGGGACGACGGTGACATAGGCGGCGGTTGGTCATAAGAGCGGCTTGACTGGCTGGGAAAGTTGGAGGCGACCTGCGGTTGCTGCACACGATTGCAATAGCGTGCTACATGACCGACGCAACCACAAGCAAAGCAGATGGGGCGATTGTCAGCAGTGCGCCATTGGTTTGCGGGTCGCATACATGTCGCAGAACGCGATTGGCGAGCCGGCTGCTGATATGAGTGCATGGTAGGCGGCACTCGGGGCACGTGGGTGACGCCGGCGTATGTAGGCGAGACCGTTTCTCCAAAGGCCTGGGGCCTTGCGACGGTTTCGGTGTAATTTAGGGGAACAGTTGCAGAAATCGGTGGGGGCGGCCTTGCAACAACTTG